GACAATTCACGCTAACGGTGAAGGGTCTTATCGCTAGCCTAACTTCGGCTCGATTAAGGTTTTCCTGTGCCTTTAGCCTTCCCTTTTCGTCTAGAACAGCCTAAAGTTACTCTATTCAACCGCTGTTACCTTTTGGTAGGGATGTAAGGGCTTTCCTAAAAAAAAATTTATAAAACGTGAAGGATCTACCCCTCCCAAATTGGTGAATTTGCTAAAAACAATTTCAAAAACTTTTCACAGCTAATTTTTGATCTATTGGTACCAAGATCAACTGGATATGTCCAGTAGTTCCAAAGTTTTTAACCAAAACGTCTTTTTTCTCAAGTCAAAAAATTTCTCTATTATAGATTCCGCCTAACTGTTTCCGCAATTCTGTTCTTTTCGACCTAAAAATTATTGATCAGAGCTCAAAAGTCCTATACTCTTCTAGTTCAATGCAAAAGACCCGATCTAAAACGCCTTAGTAGAAAAAATTTGCGAAAAACTATGCTACCTGGACCCCTCCGGATTGATGAATCCAATAAATCAAACACGTTAAGTTCGATTTCTCTGCAACCCGGAAGGCTTTCGAAAAGCGGGTTTTAAAACTTGTAGATTCACTAGTGGAGGTTGTCCGAAGAACTATTTTTACTGTTCTAACTCAAAAATTTCAAAAAATTTTCTGATTTTATAGTGTTTCGTACAATCAAAAATAGCGAAAATTCGGTTTTCGGTACCAAAATAGTTCCAACCTCTTCCGAACTAAACTTAACCGGTTCTATCTATTATGGTAGTGCAGTTACGATGTAACACATCACTTCAGAGTTTTTTTCGTTTCAAAAAATATCAATATCTCAAAAATCGCGACTTGTGGGGGGATCAAAATATCGCTATTTTGACCCTAAAAACCGGTCTGCTTTCTATATTTTTCACTGAAAAACGGTATAGGAGTATTAATATAGGCTATATAAGTAAGAATATTAGTAATACTATACCCCTCCGGGTTTAATTAATATCCGAATTAAGGTGCTTAACTCGGATATTCGCAGTTCGGTGAAGGGTCACTACAGTGCAGCACTGTCGAGCCCCCCACAGATTACTATCCTAATTTTTGTACCAAAACGGATACAAAACTTGTTAACGATACCCAACAGTCGATTGTTGTTGTGGTTGAGCGCCTTCTTGTTGCTCCTTGTACTGCTTGCCGGATCAGTCTTCTCCCAAGACCCTTCCGAATTGAGCGCAAATCAGCTGACCCTTCCGGATTGAGCGCAATTTATCATTAACGTGCTTAAATGCTCAAATAACCCTTCAGTCCAAGCCTCACAAACGGGTCACAAAATTGATCGTAACGATCCTGACTGATATAAATGCCTGTAACAACAATATATGTATCAACAACAAACGGAAGGGTCGGATCACATCTTGTCTGGGGGGATGATTTCTACTGATTTTTGGTTTTTTCGGTTATTTTTTATGTTTTTTGTTTTTCTTGGGTACTAAACTACTTTTGTTTGGTTTTTTATATATCTTTAAGTGTTTTTGGTCACAAACCTCTCAGGGAACGATGGAATGGCCGATCCCCCCACCCTTCCTGATTCGTGAATTTTCGGTCTTAACTAGTTTAAAAAGCTATTCACGGTAATCCGGAAGGCTTCCGCGTTCCGAACTACCCTTCCGCCCCGGCGGATTAGGCCTAGTAAGGGCGTTAATGTGAGCATCCGCTTGGCGCGGAGTGCTCGTTAACGGTCCTGCCGGTCATGATGTTAAAAAAATTGAGTTAATAGAGTTAATAGATATAATTGAGTTAATAGATATAAGACCCCTCCGGATTGGGACCCCTCCGAATTAGCAAATATAAGACCCCTCCGGATTGGGACCCCTCCGAATTAGCAAATATAAGACCCCTCCAGATTGGGAGCCCTCTGGTTTGTAATAGTAGCTTTTCGGAGATTTCCTTCTTTCAACCTATACCCCTTCGGATACGTTCTCCGATGCGACTTTGCTTTTTCAATTAACTAGGAAGGGTATGTACTGCTTTCCTAGACCCTTCCGGATTGAAGTTAAACCCCTTATTTGACAATTCACGCTAACGGTGAAGGGTCTTATCGCTAGCCTAACTTCGGCTCGATTAAGGTTTTCCTGTGCCTTTAGCCTTCCCTTTTCGTCTAGAACAGCCTAAAGTTACTCTATTCAACCGCTGTTACCTTTTGGTAGGGATGTAAGGGCTTTCCTAAAAAAAAATTTATAAAACGTGAAGGATCTACCCCTCCCAAATTGGTGAATTTGCTAAAAACAATTTCAAAAACTTTTCACAGCTAATTTTTGATCTATTGGTACCAAGATCAACTGGATATGTCCAGTAGTTCCAAAGTTTTTAACCAAAACGTCTTTTTTCTCAAGTCAAAAAATTTCTCTATTATAGATTCCGCCTAACTGTTTCCGCAATTCTGTTCTTTTCGACCTAAAAATTATTGATCAGAGCTCAAAAGTCCTATACTCTTCTAGTTCAATGCAAAAGACCCGATCTAAAACGCCTTAGTAGAAAAAATTTGCGAAAAACTATGCTACCTGGACCCCTCCGGATTGATGAATCCAATAAATCAAACACGTTAAGTTCGATTTCTCTGCAACCCGGAAGGCTTTCGAAAAGCGGGTTTTAAAACTTGTAGATTCACTAGTGGAGGTTGTCCGAAGAACTATTTTTACTGTTCTAACTCAAAAATTTCAAAAAATTTTCTGATTTTATAGTGTTTCTAAACTACTTTTGTTTGGTTTTTTATATATCTTTAAGTGTTTTTGGTCACAAACCTCTCAGGGAACGATGGAATGGCCGATCCCCCCACCCTTCCTGATTCGTGAATTTTCGGTCTTAACTAGTTTAAAAAGCTATTCACGGTAATCCGGAAGGCTTCCGCGTTCCGAACTACCCTTCCGCCCCGGCGGATTAGGCCTAGTAAGGGCGTTAATGTGAGCATCCGCTTGGCGCGGAGTGCTCGTTAACGGTCCTGCCGGTCATGATGTTAAAAAAATTAACACCCAGGAGCGCCATAAAAACATGTATGTAACATTCGCCCGGAAGATACATATCGACGGACAACAAAACCAAGTCCTAAGACGACTGGCTAACGTCTAAACAGAGCTTTGCATGCTTTTCACCGTCTCTACCAAGCCAGTACTTTCGGTGGTCTTTCTAACATCGGGTCGACAAAAAACGTTACTGCTTTCGGCTTCGGTCAAAACACTCAAATTAACTTAACTACATGCAGAAATAGTGAGCTCATGGCTGGGTCTCAGTATCCCCAGACCACGAGGTCACTCCTAAAAACAGGGCTACTACTACTTATTGAATTATTATTGTTTTTGTTCAGTAGATAAAAATCATCATATCCATCGAAGATGGATCAACCCTTTCCCCCAACTCCTAGCTTCTCATCTTAGTAGAATGAATTCGGATGTTAATTAAATTCAATTCAGGACATAATAGGGAAGCTAAAAGTTCATATAAAACGATAAAAGTTTCAGTCCCGAAACCCCTCCTGATTCTCGAATCCACTGAATCAAGCACGTTAAGCTTGATTTCTCTATAACCCGGAGGGCTGGTTTCCACCCCTCACTGTTGTTAGCAACTGCCTTGCAACTATTGTAGCGACACAATAGTTGCAACTTGGAGCGGTCTCTGTTACTTCTGTTTCTCTCTGTGGTTTTTTATCACAATCTTCGTTGTTTTCGTCAGCGCAACTATCGTTGTTGTGTTGCTTTTCAGTTTTTCTGCCAAAATGGCCGTTTTTGACGTTTCTAAGAATTGTTACGTCATCACTTCGAAAATTTAAAATTTAGGAATTTCCGAATCCTTCAGCCTTCACGTTTTGTCCAATCGTTCGAATAACGTTCTTATTCCTTCTAAATTGCCAATTCGGAAGGTTCGCTGCTAAAAAGTCGAAATCGCCGAATTTGCATTTTGGCACATTCTGGTCGAATGTCACAAATTGGAGTTTTTGTCTGAACCATTGGGACACTCAAGCTGTCCACCTTTCCGTTGAATGTTCATTCTGGTTCGGTTCGAATGGTTATTCTCTCTTCTCGTGATTATCTCTCTTCCTATTTCAGGACAAGACGGCTCTACTCGTGTATTATTTTGTATCTGGAAATTGCGAATAGCAATTTCCTGCTGTTTTCTTAAGTGTTTTCCCGCAATTGCAAATTCGGTCGTTCTGATTTTTCACTTTGTGTTTTCAATTGGTGCGAGAAAACTGAGCATGACAGGCTCCATTCGAAATTTTGAAAATTAAAACTTCACTCCAAAATCACGTATTTTCGTGTCCCTCAAGGTCAAACCTCCAGATATGACCGACTGGCACAATTCTCCAGTAAGAATGGTGGATGCTGATGTAAATATTTTCAATTCCCGATAGTCTGTCTTTTAGTTCACTCTCTCCTAGTTGCGCCTTTCTTCTGTCCTTTCCCGTGTCGTCCTTGTCTCTCTGCTATAGCTCTCCACCAACCCAGTTCCATATCCATCAGTGTCTATCGCCCGCTCTACTTCCATCTGTTCACGGTTCCCGAGTACCACAACTCTGCCTGTCGTTGCACACCGTTTTGGATGGTTTGATGCTGTACATTCTGTACATTTTTACTACATTGAAAGTGTCTGTTTCTGTTCTGTATTTTTCAGATACAAATTTAAAAAAAAAAAATTGAACCCCGTGGAGGTTTTTTGTGCTCTGCAGTATCCTTCTAAGGTTCAGTTTTGTGAATTTTCTCATTTAGAAATACTGTAGCTGATGGTAATGATTACAAGGCTTGAAGTTTTTTTGAACTAATTTCGTGTTGTCATTCCATAATGGTGATGATGAGGATACGTTACTTGATATATTTGAACTGGCCTTGAAATGGCTAGTGTATACTGAGCTTAAAATGTTCATATCCAAATATTCATACCTTGTCTTTTACGAACGATGCGGCTGCTTCTTTGTGAAAATGTAATTGTACCAACTTGCATTAATACTTTTTTCAGGAAGTTGAATGTTTGCTACAAATTGAAAATTGTCATCATTTTGAATACAGACTCAGAAGACTGGTCATTTATTATGAAAAGCTGAGTACAAGTCTCCAATACGGTTGCGTTCTCTCAACATGAAAGCTGTTCAAATGGTAACTTTGCCATAATTTCATTAATAAAGTTTCATGCAAGCATAATGAGGTGTCATAATGCAAAACTTATTTTTTCCGTGTCACGGTTATTTAAGAGCAGACATTATTCATGAGAGTCAATCGAATGATCAAAACTTATTTGAACAAAAGCATTTATTGCATTTGGTTCTCCCGCAGAAGTTTTGTGTTTTTATTTAAAACTGTTTTTTTGATAATATTCTCAATGACTTTGAGTGCTTTAATAGTTAGAATAAGGGTTTTCCAGGACAGTTCCGTTCATTAACACTATTTACCGTGTTTTAATAAACAAAAAATTATATTTCAGACCTGAAATGATCAATTATGCCTGGAATTGTTGGCTAAAGGATATTGCTAAAAAATTGGAAACAACTAAAATATGCACAAACTTGTTTATTTAAGTGTTTTTTTTTCACATGATGAATAGACCGTTTGTTAAAATGGATGTAGTTTAAAGTCACCAGATTTTTTCAGAAATTTTGTAAAGTTTTGTCGAAAACTAGTCAAAACAGGGAAACGCTTGTAATTCAAAAACAAGAAACGCAAAAACTAGCTAGTCAATTGCTAACGAAGGGAAACGCTTGTAATAATACTAGTTCACTTTTTCCCAACATAAGTTAGTGCTCAGCAAAAAACAACTTTTTCCCGGATCCTTATGTTGCTCTAATTTTTCGAATTATAAGTTTTTTTCGCAGTTAATTAGCCCGTCGTTTATCCGTTTTATTAGTGGATGTTTGTAATGCAGTGAGGGGATATGGAGCAGTATTTAAAAGCTTTTTGTTCCGACCATTGAAAAAGGGGATGAACTTTGTAATCGGGTGTGATTTAGTATATTTGTTTGCTTTTGTTTTCCACGCTAACTCAGATACCACAAATATTCATCGGACTGGGTTGGGTGATATATCATATTAAAGCCCTTTTCTAAATTGTTTCTAAAAATGGTCCCAGTGTCGAGAGTAACCGGTTTGAAAATTTTGATTTTTCATCTTTAATTCGAGCGAATAAAGCAAGCGAGCAGGCTTACAACAGCTGAATTATGCCTAATTAAAGACATTAGAATCCTATTTTAATCAAGTGAAACTAGTTTTTGGAGTTTTATTAGCTTTATTTTGGGAACCAATAACTTCAAAATTTCTCTGCAAAAAATGTTGTTTTTTGCCGATATTACTATGACTGTCTAATATGCCTAAATTATATTGTTACGTCAGAGCTTTTTATCACACCAAGCAGAAAACTACACTAGTTTGAAAAAGCTTTCTATACCTAGTTTTCTAAAGACCATGGTCGGAACATTCTGTGCTACTTGCACAGTAACCGGCTATCCTTGTTTCTTATTTTGATTTGTTTTTTCATTTGCTAGCATTTGGCTGTGATTTGAACGCTTTTTTGGCTTTAGCTATGCTTTCACAATGTTTTCAAGTTTTGAGGTGTACAAAGATTGTTTGTGCTACTTTTCATTCTTAATTTGATGATTTCATTGATTTACTTATTTCATCACATTTTAAAGAATTTGAATATTTTAAAAATAACTTTGAGTATCTAATCTGACTATGGGTTAATTTTTATTTTACACTGTTACTATACTAATTCAACGCTATTTTGTATATTAGTTAGAGTGTGTTTTTTTCTTCTATCGAACTAAATGTTGTCGCTTTTTTTTGCTTGAAGTTGTTTTTTTTTACATGTTTTCAAACCTTTTTTTAATTAGAATTAAGACTAGTCCAGATTTTTTGAAAGAGAAAGGTGGCTTCTCTTTTGAACCCCGAGGAGGTTTTTTTGCTCTGCAATTTTCTTCTAATGTTCAGTTTTGTGAATTTTCTCTTAGAAATACTGTAGCTGATTGTAATTATTAGAAGACTTGAAATTTTTTGAACTAATTTCCTGTTGTCAATCCATAATGGCGATGATGAGGATACGGTACTTGATATATTTGAACTGGCCTTGAAATGGCTAGTGTATACAGAGCATAAAATGTTCATATTCAAACCTTGTCTTGCCAAGAATTTACGAACTATGCGGTTGCTTCTTTTTGTACCAACTTGGATTAATACTTTTTTCAGGAAGTTGAATGCTTGCTACAAACATTCAACATGCGCTCATTTGTTATGAAAAGCTGAGTACAAGTCTCCAATACGGTTGCGTTCTCTCAAAGCTGTTTAAATGGTAACTTTGCCATAATTTGATAAATAAAGTTTCATGCCAGCGGAATGTGGTCTGATAATGCAAATTAATTTTTTCCGTGTCACGGTTATTAAAGAGCAGACATTATTCATGAGACTCAATCGAATAATCAAAACTTATTTGAACAAAAGCATTTATTGCATTTGGTTCTCCCGCAGAAATTTGTTTTTTATTAAAAACAGTTTTTTTTTTTTTGAATAATATTCTCAATGACTTAGAGTGCTTTAACGGATAAAATAAGGGTTTTCTAGGACAGTTCTGTTCATTAAAACTATTTTACTTAATTTAATATACAAAAAGTTATATTTCAGACATTAAATGATCAATTATGCCTGGAATTGTTGGTCGAAGGATATTGCAAAAAAATTGGAGACAATTAAAATATGCACCAACTTATTTGTTTCAGTGTTTTTTTTCCACAAGGAAACGCTTGTTATAATACGAGTTTATTTTTTCCCCTTTTAAGTTAGTGCTCAGCAAAAGTTTTTCATTTTCATTTTCAAACTATATTCATCGGACTGGGTTGAGTGATTTATCATATTAAAGCCCTTTTAGTCGTGGTTCGGACCACATTTAAAAGTTTCGAAAAAGTTTTTCCCAGTGTCGATAAAAACCGGTTTGAATATTTGATTTTTCGTCTTATATCGAGCGAATAAAGCAAGCGAGCAGTCTTACAACAGCTGAATTATGCCTGATTTAACACCGTAAAACTTTATTTTAGTCAAGTAAAACTAGTTTTTTCAGCTGCGTTTTGCGAACCAGCTTTTCGCAGCATGACTTTTGATTTCTTCTCAAGTTTAGTTCATTTTCCTTAGTTGAAAGGAAGGCATAGTCCGCTATCGAGCAGCAAAAGTGTAAAGGTCACAAAAAAACTTGAGCGACTACCTAATCGAAAGTGGATTTTGATTATCAGATATCCCAGCGAAATAAAAATTTTAGCTATCGATCGAGTGTTTTTCAAATTGTTGTAATTTATCACAAAACGTGTCACATTAATTTGTTTTTTGAACTTCAAAGAGCGCTATGGCTTGCTATTAATTTCCTGGAAATTCCAAAATTGACATTTTTTTAATAAACAAGTCAGTGTTTTTTTCCTATGTACTTGCTTCCGTTGACTCTTTTCCAACCCAACCGTCTGTTGGCTATGTTTTACATTTGCGGTTAACAAAGATATTAGAACTGAGGGCTACACTTTTTCCGTTGGAACGTTGCTCACTGAATTCATCAGTGTAATCTAGCCAATCAAGGTCCTGCCTTTTTGCCTGACTTTTCGGAAATGAAGATTTTCTGCTGAGAAATTTTTGGTTGTCTGGCTATCGTTTGTCTGGTTGTTTTGTCTGCGGCTTAGTTTCAACAGCATGGATTTTTTTGATAACAGTCTGATTTAGGCTGAAGTTAATTGATTTATTTCTGTAATGATGCAGGTATTTGAGCTCCAAGAAATGTCCTATTCAATTTTCTTTATATTTAGAAGTGCTTTTTAACCCTTGCGATAGGCAAGGTATTGCAACAGGCTACAAAGCTATTTTTCTCCCATAAATAACGTTGTTCACATGATGACTGAAATTGGCAGTCATTTTCAATCTACTTTTGTCAACTTACAGACATGCTTTGAGAATTTCTTGCTTTGTAATGTCTGTGCTATTCGAAATTTGTTTTCAGATTGGTTGTAAAGATAGCAAATCCCCTTTCAGTATAGTTTCAGTTTTTCTCGTTTTTTTTTCTTATCTACATATTTTTTCTTATCTACATGTTTTGAGGGGGATTTAAAATTTTGAAAACATTCTTTATCGGCTCAAAAACATTTTTTTTTGTCTGCTTAAAAGAAAGAATTTATTTCTCTAGTCAGCACTAAATACAACATTGAATATATTTATAATTTAAGTTAAATGATGCGACTTAGAGAGGATAGACAACGGGACCTAAAGGTCCTCCAGGGTCTACCCTTAAGTTGTTCAAACATAAAGATTTAACACTAATATTTAATGAAAAAAAAAAAAAAAAAAAAAAAAAAAACGAAATTTGAAAAAAAAAAAAAAAAAAAAAAAAAAAGTTTTGAAGTAGGTTTACTTCCGTAAGTTAAGATTTTTTGTTGGCGTTACTGAAAGAGCCCATCAACTTTAACTTAAGACAACCAGGTTCACGGTCGCAGGTGAGTTTTAAAATAATTTTTAAGAAAAATAATTTTTTTCTTTTTTTTTTCTTTTTTTTTTTTTTACTAAGTGTTTAATATTTTTCGAAAAATCGTAAAAAATGGCCATATCTCCTAAACTACAAGGATTTAGAGCTTCATATTTTAGCACGAGAATCGGAAGCTAGAGCAGTTGCCTGGTAGCATTTAACCAACGATAATCATTTTAAAGAAAAAAGGAAAAAGGGAAAAAGTACTACAAATCGTAGATAAGTTTTGTTAGTTCGTCGTTTTGCAACAAAAATGTATTTTTGAAATTATGGTAAAACACTTTTACTTTTGTCTCAGAAAAACTTTCAATATTTTCAGGAATTATATTTTGCAGTCTCAATAAGTTAAAAAGCTTGCAAGCACGATATCGGATAGAAAAACGTTCAAATCTTTTCTTGCAAAGAGGTTCTAATAGTAAATTGTATTTTGAGTTTCTTGTTTGTCTCTGCCGATTATTAAAAACAAACAAATTGTTAAGGAAACTCTCTGAATGAAAGGAATTAATTGAGCGCAGAACAAATTTGAGCAATTCGTATACATGCAATTCGAAAACCGATAGAAAATTGTATTTAAGAAAAATGTCATTACAGGAGTACATTTTCTTTCGAAAGAACATAAA